TAATGAATTAAAATTAAGTTAAAACTCAGTTTCTCAATCAAAAGAGCCACAGGTGGCTACTGGCTGCTGTACTGGATAGTCCAGAATACTGAACATTCCCAGCACAGAAGGAAGTTCTTACAGAATAGCAGTGGTTCTAAGGGAAGCAGGGTGTGGTTGCTTCCCCTCCCTTTCTAGAAACCATCATTCTAACCCTCTCCTGGTTCATCATGACACCGCTCTCTCTGGTTTCAGGCCCCATGGCCCATACTGACTAATAAACTCAAAAACCATCTCCCAGCCACTTACCTGGCCTAACATAGTCCTCCCATAGCTTCGCCTCCTCCAGGGAGTCTGCCAACACTAGATGAAATGGTGCGCCCTTCCTATAAGCTTCAGAGTGCTGTGTAGTTTCTCTCAGAACACTCATCAATTTTCTTTTTGGTTGTTGTTTTTTGAGATAGGGTCTCACTCTGTTGCCCAGGCTGGAGTGCAATGGTACAACCTCAGCTCACTGCAACATCTGCCTCCTGTGTTCAAGTGATTCTCCCACCTCAGCCTACCAAGTAGCTGGGACTATAGGTGTGCACCACTATGCCCAGGTAATATTTGACTCTTGGGGTTTTTTTTCGTTTTGTTTTTGTTTTTGTTTTTTGGTAGAAAGGGGGTTTCACCATGTTGGCCAGGCTGGTCTCAAATTCCTGACCTAAAATGATCTGCCCATCTTGGCCTCCCAAACTGCTGTGATTATAGGCGTGAGCCACTGTACCTGGCCCATTCATCACTGTTCTTAAAACTGTTTACATTCATTCATTCATTCATATATTACACAAAGTCTCACTCCTGTTGCCCAGGTTTGTATGCAGTGGAGTGATCTTGGCTTACTGCAGCCTTAAACTTCCCAGGATCAGGCGATTCTCCCACCTCAGCCTCCAGAGTCAGCTGGGACCACAGTTACATGCCACCATGCCTGGCTCACTTTCGTATTTTTTGTAGAGATGGGGTTTTGCCATGTTGCCTAAGCTGGTCTTGAGCTCCAGTGCTTAAGCAGTCCTCCCACCTCGGCCTCCCAAAATGCTGGGATTACAGGTGCCAGCCACCATACCCAACAAAATTGTTTACGTTTAATCTGCCTCACAAGACTAAGCAGGGGAAGATTGTAGACTCTGGGGCCCAGGGGCCTAAATTTGAATCCCAGCTCTATCTTTGGTTTACCATGTGAACTCGGAAGAGATCATTGACATTTCTGGGTCTCATACTCCTCTTCTGTGAAAGGTCATAAGTAGGACCCACCTCATAGGCTTGTTAGGAAGATTAAATGAGTTTGTGCATACAATGCCCTTTGAAGAGCACCTGCTATGTGCTACACAAGCATTAGCAAAAATAATTAACTAAAAAACATAAGCACCTTCAAAGTCGGGGCAGTTTTGGTCTACTGCCCTGTACATCATATCCCTTGCCTCATGACAAAGTCTGACCTGAAATAAATGCTCAATAAATATTTGTTGAAATGGACTTTATATGCATTAAAAGACTTGCTTTAAAGCTGTGCCACCAGAAACTTACCCTATCGTTATGCTCATAACTGTGTAACAAGACACTTGAGGCACTGTTTATAACACCACCACCAAAAACAGAAGGGGGAGGTGAGGCGGGGACATTTAAAATGTCCACCTGCAGGGGGCTAGTTAAGTTTTATACACACACACACACACACACACACACACACACACACACACACACATTCATTCACTGGGATTCTATGCAGCATTTATAAAGGATGAGGAAAAACTGTATGCGGTAATGTGGAAAGATCTCCAAGGTATGTTAAGGGCAAAGGGCAAGAATAGAGTGAAATAAACAAGATATACATATATGCTGTGTATAAGTTTTATAAATATTTGCACTAGCATCTTTAATAATGGTTACTTATATGGAAGAGGGAAAACAACTTGGACTTAGATAGTTTTAAGTCTTTTACTACAGGAACTACTCCATCATGTACACTTACTACTTTTACTTCAACATTTATATATGTCTTGCATTAAAGAGTGTTTTGCATTGTGGTGGTAGATTTTTCCTCTCTGAAACCAGTAGAGATCTGGAAAAAGCAATTTCAGAAGGGGAAAACAGTAAATAAAGACATTTTACTGGCAAATCTGCTGGTTTACTGACTAGCAGAGGGGAAGGGATCCATTACGGGAGCAATTTTAAACTAGGTGTGTGTAAATATGAGAGCTAATGCTGATGGAGAGCTTACATGTGTCAGACAGTCTGCTAAGCCCTTTCCAATTATTGTCTCATTTAGCCCTACCTCTAAGGAAACACTATGATTATCCACATTTTACCAATGGGAAAATGGAGACATGGAGCATTAAGTAACTTGCTGGAGGGCACACAGCTCAATAGCAAAGGGGCAGAGAATCAAACTCAGGCAGTGTGACAGCAGGCCTTGCAGGCCTGTTAGTGTCCACCAACAGACAGCAGCCACCAACAAGGGACTTGTCCGGGGGAGGCAAAGACAGAGGAAGTTCTCTAAATGTCTCTCCAGCCCTACTCCTATGAGGGTATACAGCATTTAATAAAAATCCATTTGGCTCTCAGCTAATAAGAGTCAACATAGTATATTCCGGCCAGTTCCAAAAAATTATGAGCCACCTCATATGGTAGGGAAATTTCACTGCTAATAGGCCAAAGGCTGAAGAACACTGTACAATCAAATGAGTTAGAATTAGAAAAGATTAATCCTGTGCATAAGAAAATTCCAATTCTAAAATAACTATGCAACACTCAGAAAGCGAGTGCTTCATTTTCTATATAACGATCAGACATTTTCTGAAAAACATTCTCCTATTGCTACACACCAGGAAGTTAGCTTCAAGCACAATGAGTTATTTTCCTTAACTTTTTAGTTACATCTCGGATACTCTTGAGGTTTTCAGGAAAGAGTGTAGGATCTGAGAGTGACACTGAGCTGGGTTTGGTTCCTGTTCTAGCATTCTAGAACTGGCTGTGCAACTCTGAAAAAGTTATTTAATGCCACTTGGCTTCAGTGACTCCATCTAAAAATTCAGTGAAGATAATAGCCGCCTCTGTTGCAATGATAAAATTAAATGAGAAAAAGAACTGGCTCCACCTATATATCATTTGTTCCATTAACACTGAATAAAGAGAGTTTACTTTCCTTCTTCCAAGTTGGAGTCTAAATCACAAGCTTTTCCTGTTCGACCCAATTCTCTTTTGCTTTGTACAACCACTTGCACCCCAGCCACTCCAAAAATGCAAATGATGTGTTGTGTGCTTGATGACTCAAGCCCCCCAGATGGGCATAATAACTGATTTCAGATGAGGACAATTCTCTCTCTGCTAACCAAAGAGGAATCACTATCCATGGCCATTGAAGTTTTAGCTCAATTCACATGCACAACATGTGAGGATAGCATGCTGACAACATGTTAAAGAAGCTCCTTGTACCTTCCCTCAGCTCCCTTCCTTCCCTCTATACACTCCTAGACCTCGATTATTCTTGGACCCCTGCCCAGCCCACCAGTCACTCAGTCACATCCCAACATACGGTTTCAGGAAACTAAGCCAACTGATAATCAGCAATACTAAAAAGAAAAAAAAAATTTCTGACATCATGAGCTAGAATCTGATTAACATACACTGTCCACTGTATATTTACATTTGGAAATGAGCAGTATGTACAAAGACAATGTTCCTTCCCTTCTTCTCCAAAGAATATCAACCCAGAAACAGCATCTCTAAGATTCATGATCATGATGTGACTATTACTCACTGTAACAGGAGCAATTATCACATTAAAGTTATAATGTCCCTAATAAGATAATAATCTACTTTGCATTTACCCTTCATGTTTAAGTCTAATCTTCAAAATGCCCCCTGAATGCCTAATAAATCCAAATTTTAAAGAGTTTGTAAAGAGATAAACATAATAACTTGACCACATTAATAATCCTTCCTAGTTAACAGTATCATTACACTATTTCTGTCTCAAATAATAACACTCCAAAAAGTAATCAAGCTATAATACTGTTTTCAGAAAAACGTGACTTTTTTCCACCACATTCGGCTCTGACCTAGCAATGAGATCTGATCCTATGGATATGTTTGCATCTATGTGAAATGATACATCTATGTCATTCAACTCAGCAGTGTTTAGAAATATGAAACATTGAATCTGACTCAAATATTTGTTCAGAGGGAAGTGGTTAAATAAATTATGGTATGCCCATACAAAGGAATTATAATTTTTATAATTCTATTTTAAAAAGACGAAAACCAGAAGTACTTTATTACTGAATTGCAATGACGTATTAAGACATACTGCTAAACAAAAAGAGCAAGGTACCAAACAGCATGTGCTGTATACTACCTTTTGGGGAAAACAGGGAAGAAATGGGAATATCCATACAACATGCATGAGCACATGTATATACACATGTGCTCATGCATGTTTGTATTGACATAAACTTCAGAAGAGTAACCAGATTGTTTATAATATTGAATCCTAGATTAGGCAGGTGGGAGACAGGCATATGAAGATTACTTAACTAAATATTTTTAAAATAGTTTTTTTTATGAATCACATATGAGTATTTTCTACTAAAAATACATTAGAAACCAATCAGTAGGAAAGTAATATTTTATTACTACAAGATTAAAACAAACTGCTTATAAGGTCGCCTTTTGTGATTAACCATGATTCTTCCTTCTCTTCTTTCTAATACCATACATGTTCATATGAAAAAACAAAACTGACCCACGCACTTGAATAGATAAAAAAGAAAACTCCTAGAGAAAAACAAAAACCATTTTTAAAGAGCTCCACAAGTCTTATTCCACAGACTTGATCTATTACTCACCATATAAGGTGAACTGCAATTTCCTGTTATTTGTTTAGACCTCCAGAATCCACAACACATTTTTGCCTGGATGGCTCTGGCTCCTTTGAAGTACCCAAGAGAGAAGCTTTTTATGCTGCTGTACAAGTAACTCACCTTCATAGGTGCCGACTTCCAGAAGAGTCCCGCTCTGCTCGAGGTCCAAGAACTCCTTTACAGTCAGAAAGTTATAGTCCACGCCAGGCACTTCTCCTTCTCTGGGAGATCGGGTTGTGCCTGTAACAGAAAATACAGAGGCACAACAAGCCATCAGTCAACTAAAACAGGAAGTTCCACATCCAGGTGTAATTAAAATAACCTGTTCAGTAAGCTGGCGTACCCAAGACTCTGCTGCCTTATCCGTCCAGACAGGGACACAGTAAATGCAACTTCTTTCTAATATAACACAACAGCATCCTCACTTCCACCATCTAGTGCCTGGGACCCACAAATGGGAGAGAGGGAAAACCAAGTACAGCTGGGTAATCTAGAGAGAGTCTTGTAATTTTGACAATGCACTGAATAAAAAAAGGTGAATTGGATTTTATGCAGACAACATTCACAGTCAGCAGCTTTTAGGACTCCAGTAAATACTAAAAACACATCCACCTTAAGCTCAGAGCCTAAGGGGTTTGTGTTTTTATCACAGGCCTCAAAATTCTTGTGTTCCTCAATACAACCAGGAAGTTTCAATGTAATAAGCCCTTTAAAGAAAATAATACCCGCTGCATAAACACATCACTAGAGAAATCTGATTGCCCAAGATCTGTGGTTGGACATCTCCCAGGGATTAAAATGCTGCTACTCCTCATGTAATTAATACGTTTGGCAAAAAGAGGCCATCCATGAATTCTGACTAGAGAGAAAGGACACTGCATTTGCTAGAAAATTCTCCCCCTGAATCAATCTGGTCATCTTCTCAATGGCTGACAAATGTAACATTTCCTTTTACAAAATAATAGCACCCAGAGTACAAAAGTTGCCCAGCTCAGGTGCTGGGCTATAGATCTATCATTTCAGCCCAATCTCAGAGTGGAAGCAATGAGCAGAATGTTGTTTAAACGTAAGTCAAAAAAGGGAAATAAACCAAGCAGCAATTATGTACTGTGCACTAGGAGCCCATGTTAAATATTATGGGACCAAAAAAAAAAAAAAAAAGAGCAAAAAATGTGATTTCTGCTGTTACATTCAACAGAGCTCATTTTGCAAGGCATTATGACCTGTGGTGGTGATTTAAGGTCAATGTTTTCCCCTATAACGAGCAAGGATATTTCCCTATGTCTATCATCTCTTCGTTGAAATGTAATGCAATTAAATAACCAACTATATGTGCCTAGTGGCTCTGAAGTTCCTAGCATTGTGCATTCTCTGATCATTCACCCATGTGAATGACTATATCCACACCTACACTGGATATTCATAACTTTCATAAGCGAAAATCATTCAACACTTGGTGCATACTTTACTCAGGCAAAACGTATTTTTTAGTGCACGTAATTTTTCTATCTGAAATCTGAATGTTTTAAACGGCTGTAAGTTGGGCACAGAATGGTTATATTAAAGATGTTTGCTTCTCATGATCAGCATGCTAGAACCTTCTGGTTAAAGAATTCTACTCTTACACTGTTTCCTAATTTGTTCCCACTTCTGCCTCCCCGGTAGGTGATGATAAATCCCTTGAGGTAGTTCACAGCCTTTAAATTTACATTTCAAGTGTCAGGCACAGGAAACATAGGGACTGTTTCCTATGTTACATATACTGTTAAACAGCAGTGGTCTGGGCAGGGTACCGTGGCTCATGCCTGTAATCCCAGCACTCTGGGAGGCCAAGGCGAGTGTATCACCTGAGGTCGAGAGTTTGAGACCACCCTGATCAACATGGAGAAACCTCATCTCTACTGAAAAATACACAAAATTAGTCGGGTGTGGTGGTGCATGTCTGTAATCCCAGCTACTCCGGAGGCAGAGGCAGGAGAATCGCTTGAACCTGGGAGGTGGAGGTTGCGGCGGAGGTTGTGGTAAGCTGAGATCACGCCATTGCACTCCAGCCTGGGCAAGAAGAGCACAAGAGCAAAACTCCGTCTCAAAAAAAAAGAAAACAGCAGTTGTCTGGACCGGAGTGGGAATGCTGGGTTGATGGTCTGCCTCTCCAACTTGTGGTCTTAGAGAAGTTCCTTAGTGCCTACTATTTCTCAGTGTCCTTGTTTGCAAAACAGGGATAATAATAGCACCTAATCCATAAGCTTGTTGTGTGTATTGAATGAGATAATCCTTTTTGAGGACTTTCCTCAATAATTTTTAGTAGACATTATAGTTTATGTTTTTGTTAGAATGAATTGATAGAATCTTACTGTTCAAATCCCACTACAATAATCTGTTATCATATACTTACATAAATACATATCTGTATAAGTATATGTGTGTGAATTCATGGCATTATATAATGTATTTATTCAACAAATATTTACTGAGGTCCCAACACATGCCAGGCACTAGTTTAGGCACCAAGGAAACACTGGTGAACTAGACAAAGCTCATGCCTGATGAATTTACATGTTACTGTGAGACACAGAAAACAAATATGTATATAAATAACTATAGCATATAATCTCAGGTGGAAATCTGTCTTCTATAAACTGAGGGATTAGAAAGTATCTCAGAGTAGCATAGGTTAAAGGTTTAGACAGTGTTTTGGAGAGAAGCAGCAAGGGAGAAGCAGGGAAGCTATTTCAGCTAGTTGATTCAGAAGGGCCTGACTAATGCAAAGGTGATGGGGAATGCATCCAGGCAGGGGGAATGGCAAAGGCTTTGATACAGCTGTGATCTGTTGTATCCTGGGAAAGGCAGAAAGGCCAGCATGATGACGGTAGACTGATTAAAAAACGGCTGGAAAGGGAAGCAAGGGGCCAGATCACGTAGGCCACAGAAAACACTTCATATTTTATTCTAAGGATAATGGAATGTTATCCTTCGATTGGTTTTGAATGAGGGGGTGCCTTGATTTGGTTTTTCTTTTATTTTCCTTTTTAGAGACAGTCTCGCTCTATCGCTCATGATGCAATGCAGTGGAGGAATCAAGTTCATGACCCCCTTGAACTCCTGGGCTCAAGAGATCTCACTTCAGCCTTCTGAGAGCTAGGAGTATAGGCATATGCCACCACACTCAGCTAATTTTTTTTTTGTACAGGTGGGAGGTCTCACTGTATTACTCAGGCTGGTCTCCAACTCCTGGCCTCAAGCAGTCCTCCCACCTTGGTCTCCATATTACTGAGATTACAGGCATGAGCCACCACACTTAGCTTGAATTTCCTTTTTAAAGCTCTTTGACTTCAAGGAGAACACGTTATGGGCAGAGTAGGGCAGAAGGTAGGCAAGAATAGAAGCAGGGGGACTAGTTAGGTGGTTACTGTAATATCCAGATGAATGGTAATCAGGATATGGTCTAGAATAGTAAGACAGAAGTGATAAGAAGCAGTGAGATTTCTATGACAAACATGAGTATTTTAAAGAGCTACAGTAGAGTCCATAGAATAGACATATTAAAAGTAAAACCCATCATCTAGGTATTCAGCCTCACATGTATTAGCTATTTATCCTGATGCTCTCCATGCCACCCACTGATGGAAAACAGAGAGCATAAAGGGGATGCAGATGCATCAGGATAAACAGCTAATGCACGCGGGGCTTACTTAGATGATGAGTTGACAGGTGCAGCAAACCCCCATGGTATATGTTTACCTATGTAACAAACCTGCACATCTTACACATGTAACCTGGCACTTAAAATTAATTTTTTAAAAAAGTATATCAGCTCATCACACCATGCTAGGTCTATATTTTGAAGACAGAACTGACAGAACTTGCTGATGGACTGGATGTTGTATTTAAGAAAGACAGAGTAATAAAGACAGAAATACCTATTTTATGACCTGGGCAAACAGGCTGTGCCATTTGCAGAGACTAAGAAGGCTGAGGGAAATGGTTTTGAGAAAATGGAAAATAAAAAGTTCACTTCTGGACATGTTGGGTTTGAAATGCCTAATAGACACCTGGGTGCAAAGAGCTGGAGCACAGCTGACGTTAAAAGTCTGAAGGTCAGAGTAGAGGGTAAAATGTAAACTTAATAAGAGTGATCAGTTGATTAGTAAACCAATGGCATCTGAAGTCAAGAGACAGAAAGATAAAATCTAGGGAGAGAGTTTAGGGAAAAAAAGGCAAAAAGTTCAGATTGAACACTAAAAACTTTTGACTTTTAGAAGTCGGGAATAAGAGAAAGATCCTCAAAGGAGACTAAGAAGCAGCAGCCAGCAAGATAGGAGCAATGGAGGAGGGTGTGATGTGTTGGAGCCAAGTGAAAAAGCTGTTCAGCCAGCTACTTGTAAAACACAAACAGTCTACATCACACTGGGAATTCCAGTGCACTGCAAGAATAGAATCTCTTTGAAACTTGCTGTGAAAGGATCTGTCCTAAATACGTTCTATATGGCAACTCTCATATTCAGCCTCCATACCAAAGTTCCATTAACTTAACCCATCTAAAAAAAGAGAGAACAAAATAAGACAAAAAAATGCATTGAGTTTTACAGTCTTGCTAAACCAGACAACATTGTGTTTTTCCTCCATCTGCAGCCATCTTTGCCATTCTTTCAATGATGTTTTCAGGTCCAATTTGTCAGGTTTACCTTAAAGACAACAAACACCCTGGGGTCTTAATTTCCTAAGAAGATTCAAAATAATCAAGAATGTCAAAAATGCTACATTTCAGAGGAAACATGAAACTAGCAGATCCCATTTTTCCATGTGTAAATAAATATGCTGAGGATGCCTTAGAGCAGCAGGGGAAGGGAGTAGGTGGGCGGGCAAGTCTCCACCCATAAAACGCTCAGGGTTTATTACCCAGACAAAACCTTTCCATGCTCAGGCTAGCAGGAGGTTTCCCAACTATCCTCTGAGCAGCCTGCCCTGGGTCTGGGCCAACCTGACCAGGCCCCATTCAGTGATGCTGCAGAGAAAAGGGCCCAGGGAGGGGACCCCGCCTTCTCTTTTCTTGTAGCAGAATGACAGACTGCTGGCTGGACACACGCCTGGCAGATGGTATTTCAAAGGGTTTTCAGGAGCCATCTGGGTCGGGTACAATTATTACAAACCATGCTTCTAATAAAGCCAGAAGGGTTACTTCCTGACAGAAGACGAGTAAAACAAATTCTACCATGTTTCTCAGGGACAGCGTATTAATT